AACAGTGCCAAAAGGTCGTTGCTGTACAGAAGCAATGACGTCCTCGTCTTGTTGCTGTGTTGTCCGTCGTGGTCGGCGATTTTCCTTGCGATGATCATGCAATGCATGATCACCGTTTGCAGTAAATTGCTGTATCCATCTGCGAACTGTCTTCGTAGAGCAGGGAATATCAGCAGCAATATCTGCTATTGATCTCCCAGACTGCCACTGTCCAACTATGCGACCTCTCACTTCGGGACACAAATTTCTATACATGACTTTATGCGCACCTACAGAAAGTCAGGAAAGAGAACGGATCGCCTTTCGCGAGTTGTATTTATATGATTCAGAGAAAAGCGTCTGCTCAGTTTCCACAAATGAGCGTTCGTTTATGTTTATGTATTGCATCGCATTGGTTGCACGTTATGTTGAATATATATATCGACGCGCGAGTTCGCTTAGGCGTGCGCACGTTTCTTAGAACATGAGAAAACGGACGATTCTTTCGTTCGTTGTTTTTCATGTGCGTCGATATATATATTCAATGTAATATGCGACCAATACAATATAATATATAAACATGCTTTCCGTCCGCGAACGAAAAAAAGCGGACGATGATAGTAGAAACGGGTCGCATTTTTGTATCCATAGTAATAAGGAACAATAATTATTTGAAACAGGCGCAAAAATCGGCCCTTTTTAGAGTCACCAAATTTTATAACGATGGAACGATACTCGAACGCATAAAATATGAAATAATTATATCTCGCGTGTTTATGCAACAATAAAATTAAAAATACTCTTCTTCGATCGACAACCTACACAAACGTTATATTGTTGCAACATATTCTATGTTGGTTCAGAATTCTATATTAAAATAAATCTAATATTTATTTTTTTTTCAAGAGTAGCTATTAAGAAGCATTTGTCAAAGCCTCCTAAAAACCTTTCCCCAAGATTTTTACATTACAGTAATTTCCTTGCTAACAATGAAAAATGCATGAACGTTCGAGCGAGCGAAACAGTCGTCGGGACACCGCGTATTGCTCACGTATAGACGAGACAGAGTGAGTCAAACGTTTTCTTAGTGTGTGTCACACGTATTTTAGGACGGCATTTCTGTCCAAACGTCTTATAATACTATTTCTCTCGTTCTTACGTTTGCGATAGAGGATGGAAGATCGCCGCGACTCCCACCACTATTCCCTCTCCAAGCGTCCGACGATCGTATACAGCTAGCTCTCTCCGCCACTCCGTGCTGCTCATGGCTCACCTACACGCAGCAGTGTATGAGTGACGCGTTATCGTGTGCGAGTCACACGGATATTCGGACGGCATTAACGCCAGTGCGTGTACATACAAATGGGAGCGGTGCACTTGGACACGGTGCATTTGGACACAGCCAATCACAGCACCGTGTGATTAGAGACATTTGTAAGGTCCCTTGGAACAGCGACTTGTGATTGGACTGTGTCCAATTGCCCAGTGTCCAACTGATATACACCCCATACAAATCAGTGAAAGCATACCGATGAAGTTTGCAAAGTTAAGATACGTATGCATTAGAAAGTTAAAGTGTAATATATTATAAATTGTATGCAATAAGTAAAATATAAGTTTATTTTATGTATTTATTACAAGTATTTTATGTATTATTTTATATGAAATATATATTTTCTGTAGATTTATAATTTTAATATGAATAGAATATTTTATCTTTTTATAATTTATCCTAAAGTAATCCCAGACAAGCAGACTTCCAAGGGGGTCAATTGTGGGGTGTATATCAGTTGGACACGGGGCAATTGGACACAGTCCAATCACAAGTCGCTGTTCCAAGGGACCCTACAAATGTCTCTAATTATACGGTGCTGTGATTGGCTGTGTCCAAATGCACCGTGTCCAAGTGCACCGCTCCCTCAATTGTGTATCTCGAAACGGAATGAAAATTACAAAAGTGAGCAAATTCACTAGACATTGACTAACGAAGTTATAAATATTTTAGTAAATTTGCTCACTTTTGTCATTTTCACTCTGTTTTGAGATACATAATCGACCTCAAGGAACATTTTAAAGACATCATTATGTTTTAAAAACATATTTTAAAAAAATTCTAAAGATGTCCATTGCAAATTATTTTTTTAGAATGAATATAATACACAAATAAAAAATAAAATAATAAAATTAATTACAATAATATAATAATAATTAATAATATAATAATAATTATTATTATACCTATATATAATTCCTGAAATTGTTTTTCTGGGATATCAAAAGGATCTTGAATATCTCTTAAAATTTTACTCTTAATACGTAAATTCTCGTTTCTTTCGTTTTTTTCTTCATTAACTATCCATCATGCAGCAGCCATCGTAATTGATTAACTTATTATGAATATGGATATTACTTTTCACGGGAAATATCAATTCGCATGAAAGTTTTTATTTTTTCACTTTTTTGCACTAAAATCTTCACTTTTTCGCTTTACGTGAAAATTTTCACTTTTTCACGAATTCATCCTAGGTGAAAAGATACATGATCGACCCCTGCACACAGGACGCGGTAATGCTTGCCGCGCGGCGGAAGTTCGCGCGACAGCCAATCAATATGCTGCTTTCCGTAATAACCTTCTAGCTCTTACGGGAAAACAACATATTTATTGGCTGTCGCGCGGACTTCCGTCGCGCGGCAAGCGTTGCCGCGTCCTGTGTGCAGGAACTAGAGATGGGCGATGTTTACAAAACATCGATGTTCGCTCATTGAGGATAGTATTACATGTAGAGAAAATGTTAGGGTCTCTAGAAATTCTCTATCCGACAGTCAATCGGTGCACAACTCTTTACATGTAATACTATCCTCAATGAGCGAACATCGATGTTTTCTAAACATCGCCCATCCCTAGCAGGAACCATATCAAATACACGATATAATCCAAACCAATGGGCGCATTCAGTAGAAAAAGCGCTCAGTGAGCAATCAACGATTATTGGTTCTTGCTATTTGATCCCTAAATCTAGACCAATTACATTGACAAATTACTCAACTGTTGTGCAACTGTTGAGTCTACTGAATGCAGCCAATGCCTATTCCAGTATAGTTATATTTCAGTGGCGCCGGTGTGTACATGAGGATCTAGCCTGAGATTTCATTCTGGTGTTGAACAGTATGGATATTTTCAAAACTCCCTAGATTTATGTGTTATCAAATATGGGCGAACTTTTATTGATTTAAGGTAGGATATGTGAATTGTAGGTGGCTGTTTGTTGGAGATCTTGTTCGACAATATTATCGAAGAGTTAAAGTAAATTAATTTAGTGTGAACCGGTGTGAGTGAATAAAGTATTTTTAAAAAAATGAGAAAATTAGATTATCAGGAAACATGGAGAGCTGAAGGATTAGAAGCTCAATTAGAAGCAGCTCGCGATGATCTTCGTGGTCTTGATCGTAGCATTCGTAAAATCTTGGGCCGAGATCTTCCTGACGGCGAAAATGGTCCACTACAACCACCTAGGTTATATCTATTTAGATTCAGGTTTTATATTTGTTTTACAAAAATATATTTAGAAATAAAATTATAAAGAAAGTACAAAACATTCTTATGATAACAACTGTCACACAAATATTGTTATACAAACTGTCATAAAAATAGTGTAAACGTTATTTTACATAGTATATTACATAGTATATAGCTTTTCCAGCTGTTTATAATCTCACTAATATTTTTATATCATTATTTATATTAGTTGCATTACATTTATGTGTTTTGAATTGTACTTATATGAATTGTGTTACTTATACGTATAATTGGAACATTGTATACATACAGTTTTGCAACAACTTTATTCAATATGATTTTATCTCTTTTAGAATATCCCAAAAACGACCATTACAAGAAGATCGTCGACGGATTGTAACAGAGCTTCTGAATAATGAATTACCTGGAGGAAAACGACGTTGGCAAAGTTCCAATGCTGAACCAAAAACAGTGTTTAGTCGATTAAGTGCACGAGTTCCATCTAATGCAGATGATAGTGCTGATGAAGATGATAGTATTATCAAGGTAAGCTATTCATGAAAAAAAGGAAGGAATACATATTAAACAAATAAAAGTAATAAATCTCAAGAATTTTTAGATACAAGTAGATAATTTTATTTTTTTGTGGATGAAAAAATTTTATTTTTTTGTGAATGATACCAAGGTTGATTACTGTGAGTAAAATTGTAACATAAGTTTTATAAAATAATGGATGTAATTATGGATCATTTAAAGTTAAAGTAATTTAAAGTTAAAGTAATTTAAAGTTAAAGTAATTTTGATATATTTATATGAACTTGTTGATGACAATATTTAGAAAAATTGCTGATGATGATATAAGCAGTGTGTATCATAGTTTAAAAAGAAATAATAAACTTTAGATTTATGTTTAGGATGGTATTCACAAAATTAGTTCTTATATTTAAGATTGTTTTATGTTCATTAATAGATCAATAGATTTCCATAGCCAATGAAACAATTTGCATAGCATCTAAAGATAAATTTAAGATGTTTTTAAATATAAGATTAATTATTCACATTAACAAAACTATCTTCAATGAATTTTATCTTGACATGTTATCAAAGTCTTGTCTAAGAAATAAACTGCTGAAGGCATTGTGGTGCATAAATTCAAGATAATTGCTAAACATTTGTATTAGGTATTACTTGGACATTAATGGGCACTATTATGCGTTGTCTACAATGGCAGTAGGAGTAGTAGTAATAAGTAAGCAGTAAGTAAATGGACCAATCACAATCGATTATTCTTGAATCGTGAAAATGGAATTGGTCAATTTGCTTTTACTGCTTATTTCTTACTACTACTCCTACTGCCATTATAGACGACGCATTAGGTTTTGGGCATTAATGTGCATTATTGTATAGGTAGACATTGTTAAATCACTTGGCATTGTTACGCTGTATTTATTAAAATAACAATTATTTTATGTCAAGTATGTTTACAACATAGAAAATGTGAATATTGAGTAAATTATACAGGTTGCATTCATGATGCTATTCATGAAGCATTACGATCAATTAGCACTGCAATTAGCAATCAATGAGATATAGATATAGATTGAAAATTTATTGATATCCCTTTGCAAAGAAAATGATTGTAAATTCGATGATATAGAATGTGAAATTGATAATGATTATACTATAAACATTAAAAGCATAAATATAGAAGTTATTAACATTTCAATTTTATTTGAAATTTGACGATTTCAAGTTGAAATGTTTAGAAATTAAAATTAAAAACTTTTCAAAACAATTATTAAAAAATAAATAACGAAAACTCACCTTCCGATTAAAAGTTAAAATAAATTATTAAATGATTGTTAAAAAATCTTATTGTTTTCTTGATAAATCTAAAAATAAAGTCAATACACGAGCGCGAATAAATTTATCACTGTTAACAAAAGAACAAATAAAACAAAAAACTATACAAAGATGCAACTTAAAAACAAGCAAAATTGTCTTCAAGTTTTCAATTCTTCTTCTTCTGAAGATTAACCGGTTCACTGGTGAACTCGGAACCAACGTTTTGTGTCAATACTGGTGAGAACAAAAAATTCCGCATTTTATATGAAAGCTTATCTAATAAGGGGGTTTTTGGGTAACTGATCACGAATTCGAGGTCAAATTTGTCCCGTTACTGGTACTTTAACCTTATGCACCCAAAACTAATATCCTTAATATCGTTCATTATATTTCCAGAGTCAAATTTTCTCTAAAATCAATTCTAAATATATTCTTATATTGTTTCATTTTATAATTTATAATATAAAATTCATAATATTTCACTAGCTAATAACTCATACAGCACAAAATCTCTTGGCGACGTCCCACAGATTTCTTACGTCCATAGAAGGAGGAGGGCATACTAGGTGGCGGCGGGACGCCATGCGTTCGAGATCTGCGTATCTTTTCGTTCCAGAGAGAGAAAAATATCGAGAGCGCGATTCTGCAAGGCCAGAACTCGAACCCGGGTCTTTCGCTTGCCGGGCGACTGCTTTAAACCACTGAGCTACCTGACGCTCCACGCTCACGACACTCTCCCCTCCCCAGATAACGCTCAGAGATGCCGTTCGGAAGCGACATCTCTGGCGCGATCCCGAGCGCACGGCGACTACAGAGAGAAACAATGTTACTGTACCAAATGGTATAGCTGTCAGTCTCTCAAAGTCAAAGGTTGCTATCTTTTAAGACCTGCTGTCCATGTATGCCCGTCTCCACCGTTGCCCCTCCTCATCCGGTGCAAATAATACAAATAAGCCCCGGGGTCGACACCAATTTTTTGACAGCCCCCGGGTGCTTGGACGCAATGCGCCATGGGGGATCCACCAAGGAGGGGGCATATTAGGTGGCGGCGGGACGCCATGCGTTCGAGATCTGCGTATCTTTTCGTTCCAGAGAGAGAAAAATATCGAGAGCACGATTCTGCTAGGCCGGGACTCGAACCCGGGCTTTCGCTTGCCGGGCGACTGCTCTAAACGACGTCCAGGACGTAGAAACGTCCCCAGGACGTACTCTAGACGTCTCCTGGACGTCAATTTGTGTTGTTAAGGAACGGAGTATCCATGGAATCATACCGAATATCATACCGAGTTTGTTTCGTATGTCTAATGGAATATCAAAGTTAGTTACTTGAAGTCGCCATATTGGATCCGTCATTTTAAATTACTCAAATTTGACCTCGGATTCTTAATCAGCGATCAAAAACATAAGGGTAGCAAGTTTCATGTAAATCCGTTTAAAACTGGCGGATATATACAGCGAACACATATGTGTGCTTACCAGTTATGGTACTTTTTTTCCTACACATATATGTGTACTTACCAGTGAACCGGTTAAATATATAATAAGTCAAAAGAAAAATATTTTCTTAAAAATTATCCAAAAGTTTGTTTCGTGTACATACCTGGAATATTATTTAAAAAATATGCTGTTTTCTATGATGACAATTATTAGATTGGCCGGGTTGATCATTGTGTAATAACGACAAAATGAAAATAAATTTAAAAGAAATCTGAACTTCTTTTATTTGATAACGTGATGAAGATATAACGTTTGTTGAAACAAAATATTTTTTTATTATTATAAAAATTTAATTGATCGGAATCCGCCCAATTAAATTGATCGGAGTCCACCTTTTTATTATTAAATTTAAATTAACTTTTTTTATTATTATTAATATTAAAATATTCTGATTTATATGAAAAATATAAACTAACAAAACGTTATAAATTTTAGATTTCTTATTCATTAAGGTCCCCGATCTTACGACCGTTTTAGATTATGACGTCAGAGAAGCGAGGAAATCCGTGCAAAGGATTTCTGCAGATTACATAGAAATAAGTAAATATAACCATAAAATTACACTCGCGCGCGCAATCGATTAAGCACATTTCTTTAATGCTTTGAATACTATCTTTTTCCCTTGATAATCAATCAACAGCTATAGAATGTGATATAAGTATTTAATTCCTTACTTATGCAGTCATCGGTATGACCAGATCTCATATCACAGTCATTTTATAACGGATAGATTTCGGAGAATTTTAAAATTTTAATACTCAATTGCAAGTATCACGTTATGGTTATAACTATTTCAATGTAATCCGTGGGAATTTTTAGTACGGATTTCCTTACTTCTAACATTATCAATCAAGAGTTTCACAACGAAAAACGAGGACTCTTAAAATAAGATGATAACTACACATATTCCCTTAATTCGTAATATTTGCAAACTCTAAATAATAGATTTTATTTTATTTATATTAAAAAGGTAGATTATTTTTTTAGTTACTCGTTAAGAATTTATAACATTTGTTTAGTGATATTAAGATAGGTTTATATATAGATTTTGTTCTTTCCATAAATATCTATATTCTAGTTGCCTGTTTTGCAAATATCCTATCATTTTTTATAATAAATATATGTTATATTATAAACATAAATATATAATAAATTTTTTATAAAGAAATGTGTGCATTACGTATAATTATATATTAATTGATAAAATACACAAATAAAAACATAATACAAAAGAAAACAAAGAACATAAAGTATTATATATTAACACTATATATTCTCTATGTACGGCTCTCACAATACATATATTATATTTTTTAGATTATATATACTATATTTTCTATTTTGCTATTGCACACACTGAAATAAACAGAAACATAGGTTAGGCATTACTTGGATATTACTAACAAGGGGAGAACTAGAAGTAGAAACGCGCTTTTAAAATGCGATTTGTTGCGAAAGATAATCCTTCATGCCCATATTAAAAATTGCAAATATTAGCTTTAGAAACATCGCTTAATTTTTTTTACAATTTAACAAAAAACAATTTTAAAGTTATCGGATTGATTAACTATTTGGCATGGTGATAGGTTTAAGAAAAAATAACAAAAAAGTTATCTTGGCATAGTAATAAGTTTCAGCAAAAATTAACAAAAAAGTAGCAAAATATTCAAAAACTAATAGTTTTTTCTAAGAAACAACTTCTTTCTTATGTATAAGGGGCATAAGTTCAATTCCGATTAATATATTGTCATAAGTACCTCGGACGACGCAGTGAAAGGCAGCATGGACTAGTAATCGGACGATCCGGGTTCGATACTACCTATTGGATCGTCGAATTTTTGGTAATTATGCAGAATAACGGACCACCCTCCGATTACCTTGATCTTGACATATGTTGTAGAGGTCACCCTCCTGAATAACTCTCAGAAGGTTTTAGCCGTCGCTCATTGTTTGTTAAAAAGTTATTGATGAAAGAAGTTCGAAAAATATATTACAATTGTTCGATACTGTGTAACGTTAACGAGCAATATCGAATAATAATTGCAATATCGAACGACTAGCGGGGAGTTGCGCCCCTCGCACCCCCCCTCTAAACTAACCTAACCCAACCTATCGTCACATTAACACAAAAGTTGAACACTAATAAACAATGACTGACACTTAATGTGACGATAGGTTGGGTTAGGTTAGTTTTTAGGGAGGGT